CTATGGAGCTGTGGACTCAACATCACTAGATGAACACCGCAACAACATGTACTTAAAGTCCATTCATCGAGCCTCTGTGTCCTCTTCAGGTTTCAAACTGGAATCACGTCCCCCAACTTCAGCAGCCACTAAATTCCGCAGCTACCGTGTGTACCATACGGTTCAGCAATGGCAAGGGAATGAACTTTCACCAACAGAGTGGAGATGGCAAATCAAGGTTGGGGTCCTTGTTCATATTGAGACAGATAGAGCAATTGCTCCCGAGAAAGTCTTGAAGATGATATCTTGTGGATGCAAGTTTGAGTGCAGGAGACGGTGCAGTTTGTCAAAGAGCAGGAATTGAGTGCACATTGCTTTGCACTGGATGTCGAGGATTGCCAACCTGCCAAAATGTACTCAGTATTGAAGAATGAGATGTTGTGATTGACAAAAATACCTTATGATACATCAGTCAAAGAGTGAGTTTCAAAATTTACTAACTAAAAATGATGATATTGATATTGATTTACCATCAATTTGTGACCACAGTAGCCATTTTGACGTCTGGTACCAAAAGCACAAGCATAAAATGTGTGGTTACCATGCCATAATTAATTGTCTAATGCATGTGCGGTGTTAAAAGTAATATGTTTAGATTCCTTGTCAGAAGGGCTTTCATTTAACATATCACAAGGTATGGTTAATTAAAAAGAAATATTTTCGTGAGATTATTCTGATTTTAAGGACATTGGCGGCCATTTTGAAAGAGCCACAAGGCATGATGTCAATATATTTGGAATTCTTGTGAGATGAGCTTTCATTTGATATATCACATGGCATAAATATATACAAAATATCTGTTTGCATAATCATTTTAATGATTTTAGCGGCCATCTTGAAATTGGCGGCCAATTTGAAAATGCCACAAAGTAGAATTTGCAGAACTTTGTATCTTGTACATGGCAATGATGTTCTGAAGCTTTCCTGAAAAATCAGCTTTCTACTATTTTTTTCCAATGTCATGTCTAATGCTCCTGGCCTATATACAATGTACATGATCCAGACTTCCAGTTGCAGACTTTCATTTTGTTTGGAAGCATGAGCATCAATCTACGCAATTGGGATACGATGACATGTGTGAACCAAGTCAGCGAGGCTGACCACCTAATCCCGTTAGTCGCTTCTTACTACAAGCATGGGTTACTGAAGACCAATTCTAACCCGGATCTTCACGGGTCCTTATTTTGACTTGAATGTTTCCGGATTTATTGCAGGTTTACAATCAAATAGCATTTGCGTATGCACATTGTTTAATATGTTGTCAGTTTAATTTACAGGCTGACGAACAAAGCTCTTGACAGAAATTTGGGTTACCTGCACTTTTAGATAACAACGCTTTCTATTTTCACATTCTCTGCCTGGACTTCGAAGATTTGCCATGACTCGTGTTGCATGTGCAAAAAATACTAAATACAAAATACAATAAACTACGTTATAACAAAACCGTTTATAACGAACTGTTGGATATAACGAATATTTTGTTGGTGTTTGGTCAGCCACTAAGTCTTGCTGTATATCATAGTCGATAGTTATGAAGAACAACGGTTTAACCGAACCAAACATTGGTACTCCCTTTGAGTTCGATATAAACGGGGGCGGTTGGGTAGTCTAGTGGTTAAAGCGTTGGCTCGTCACGCCGAAGACCCGGGTTCGAATCCCCACATGGGTACAATGAGTGAAGCCCATTTCTGGTGTCCTCGCCGTGATATTGCTGGAATATTGCTAAAAGCGGCGTAAAACCAAGCTCAGTCAGTCAGTGGTTATAAACGTAGAATACTCTACCTGTACTTCTTTCTTTCTTTCTGAGTGAGTGAGTGAGGGAGTGTTTTACGCCGCCTTTACGAATATTCTAGCAATATCATTTCTGGGACACCAGAAATGGGCTTTACACATTGTACCTATGAGAGGTGTCGAACCCGGGTCGTGACGAGCGAACGCTTTAACCACAAGGCTACCCCACGGCGATATTTCTTTCTGAAGTGTATCATACTGCTTTGTATATTTAGCATTTCATTCCAAGTGGTGATTATGAGATCTAACCATAAACCACACTTCAGTTCACGCGTAATTTGTAATTTACTTTTGAAAACGTTGTTACTCATTACTCTAATTACTCTAGACGGCTATTATATAAATTGATATTGTTTCGTTAACCAATTATACATCAATAGTCAGTTATATGAGTTTTTATAAGAAAAATAATTTCTTTGAATGCCTGAGTAGTATTGTTATTTTCAACAATGTTTAGAAGAGTTTACGAAACAAACACTTAAAGATACGAGATAAGACCTAGTGGTCTATTGAGTTGTATCATTCTATATCATTTCTCTTCATATGTAGGTAGACCGCCTCCGTGGTGTAGTGGTTAGAGCGTCCGCCTGGAGAGCGGAACGTCGCGGGTTCGATCCCCCACCGCGTCATACCAAAAAGACGTTAAAATATGGTACTTGTTGATCCCTGCCTGGCGCTCGGCTTTAATGGGTACAACAAGGACTGGTCGGCTCGGAGTCAGTATAATGAGTCTGAGTGGGGTATTCATGTTTCACTGCGGCATGGTATCTCAGTGGGCTAGCACTATAAAACCAGCTTCAGTCTGGGCTAGTACACGCAGCCGCACATACCCATACACACGCATGCACGTCGTCATATGAGCGAAATATTCTCAAGCACGACCTTAAACCCAATTTCACTTCACCTCACCTCATATGTAGGTACATACAATGTATAGTGATTATCAATCAATGTAAATGAAATAAATTAACTTTAACACACCGACCTGCAGCAGACACAAGTACCAGGATAGCGAGAAGGAAACTGGCAGCCATCTCCGTCTCTGTTGGCTACACTAGTGGAACAAGATCAGGTCTTCTCTACACAACTTAGCAGTTTCTTATCGCCCTCGACCCAACAAATACGTTTGGTATGCCTATCTACATTCTACTGATAATCCACACGAAAATGTTCGAGAAAGTTTCATTTTTTTAATGCTTACTATGCAGAAAATATTTAACTTGTCACGCATTTGGAAATCCCGCTTATATTAAGTATGCTTTGTTTAGTGATTACATAAGGATTGTAACCGATACGTGAGTGAATTGTATTTATTGATCACGTCTAATATCTATATAGCCATACTCTGAACGGACTGAGGATAAATTGACGGTCGAGGACCATATTTTTTAGTACCCCGATATGCTTATGTATAATGACTTGAAATCATCTTTGAGATGAATCCTATCATAATTTGTGATTTGTCATGTTTGTAATGAATTGTGTCTCACATTATCTGATGGGCATGAGAGATGTTGATATGCACTATCCCATATAGCTAATGCTCTGGTAGGTGCACGATGTATACGTTCCCACAGTGACGATTGTGAGATGTACATCGAGACCGACAATCACGGGTCTTGTCAGCGCTTGAAAAAAGCCAAAAGCCAGTCTTTTGACAGTGAATGTTCTTGAAACCACATAGCTCAACACAACCAAGAATCTTCAAGGAAAGATATCTATTTATACGCTTCGTGATTCTGTTATATACCTGTGTATTAACAAAAGTTTTGTGTATGAATATATACACTAATAAACATTTTTGTGAATGTGAATATTGTAAAAAATGTGAACGATTTCAGGTATAATGTCTGACAATATTTTTTTTGGGTTTAAATAGACCAAGGCAAGACGACACACACTAGTCTCCCAGTCCACACAACGGTCGCCTTCCTTTCACATAAAACGTAAGGTCTGTTTGTAGAGGTCTTGTATGCCATGCCTTGAAACCCGAAATGATGAGTCATAGCCGACTTTGTAACTGGGAGCTTGATATATGGTGTTTCTTAACCTTTATCAATGGAATCTTCTTTCCACAGGCGGACCAAGAACAAATAGCAATCTGGCACGACCGCCTGAAGTAGGAAATACCCAAGGGTACGTACTAGCTCATCACTTTTTCGACGAAACACTACAGATGCAATGTGAGGCAGGCGGCACACCTCAAAACGAAGAGGTGAAATCGCAACAGAGGCCAGATTTCATCTTCCAAAAAATCAACGTCAAGGGTCAAGTGGCACCTTCGCCGTCTGTCGGTCTTTCATCCACGTTTCGGGGCGGTGGGGTAGCCTAGTGGTTAAAGCACGTCACGCCGAAGACCCGGGTTCGATTCCCCACATGGGTACAATGTGTGATGCCCATTAATTTTCTGGTGTCCCCCGCCGTGATATTGCTGGAATATTGCTAAAAGCGGCGTAAAATTAAACTCAGTAAGTCAGTCATCCACGTTTCATCCCAGCGTGATCCGCACGTGCAAATATAACAACCCGTGCTTGTGTTGTATTTGTTTAGACGCTCCATCTTTCTGCCTATTCTACATTCCTGAGCTACCATTGGTCAACAACAGTGTCTCCATCTGATCAAATGTGTTATGCATACTGGTGTATACGTAAGTATGTTTGGTGCAATGCATAATGTATTACTCCAAAAACGTATTCCAAACCAAAGGATTCGTAAATGCAAAGTAGTACACATCACGACAGTTGTGCAAGAAATAGGTTCAGGATAGGTGGGTGAAAATTGTCACGTGTATGTTTCCTATTTTAGCCAGAAAAGTTTTATATTAAAGTACTATCGGAAATAGAAACAAAAATGTTTTAGGCTGTTACTCTGTATCCCTAAAATTTACACAATTGCAAATAGCATATGTCGAAATAACCCCCATCGTCTAACTGGGCATTCAGTAGGATGCGTAATAGAATATCCAGAAAAGCATGTATACTGGTAAAATCAGGCAAAACTTAGAAAAACTACGAATAGCTGCTGAAAACAATAGATCAGACTATAGATTGCAATAAGGTCGCTCAGCAAGGTATGACGACGGACCGTCGACTCACTTGGCATAAAATGCACGTGCTGCTGTCAGGCACAAGAGGTCATCTCAAAGATATTTTATGCTTTTTCACGTGTATTGAATAGGTCTGTTGATTATCATCTTACGTGGTCCTTCTTTTATGAAGTTTATGCAAAAGAGTGTGATACCAATAGACAAGCTTAAATCAGCCATCGTATTAAATGTCTCAAAATATATAGGCATTTATTACTACAAATGACGTCATAATATAAACTGTGACGCATGTTGTACACTATCCATATGTGCATCCCCAGGCTTTGTAACTTATAGTAGCATATCCTGAGTCGCCAAGGTCACATTGAAGACTTTTTGACACGCCGTCAGTGTTGAACGAAAAGTTGACAATTTCATTAGCTCCCCCTGCAATACGGACGATGATGTCGCTGCTGTCAAAGTTGATGTCAACAACTCTCTGTGGAGACATTGGCACCCACTTGTCAAGTTCTCCTTGAATCAAGACCTGGTGACTGAAAATAGAAAAAGCGTGCACAGGAGTGAGTGGCTGAGTGACAGTATTTCAATGATATCACATTGATGAATACTGAATCTGAGGTGAGAATTGTCAAAGTGCGGATCCTGCATTGCTAAGGGAGACGACTCTTTATTTAAGACGCCTGGATCATAGACTAACGTCTAGTCTCTTAAATGGTCATACACATGCAGTCTACCTGCATCCCTATTAAAAGCGTGTTTTTTATAAAAAATAAATATCTAATACAACTCACTATGACATTCCTTCCAAACATACAATCTATCCAATCTCAAAGTTTACACTCAGTGAAAGACTTGTGGCTTGATCCTCACCCTCCATATGTTGTAACGGGTGAGACATAGTACAGACAGAAGTCCACCATGGTACAACCACTCAGCAGGAGAGGCTGGGGGTCTGTCAGCAGCTGCACCTTGTTGGGGTCTTTGGCAGAGAACACCATAGACTTGGGGAACTGGAAGTATACAGATTGTTCAATGTATTTCCAATAACTGAGTACCGTAGAATGAAATGGACGAACACAAGCTGCACTGAAAATTACTGAAGCTTTCAAGAAAATAATATTTTGGCTTGTTCCCGGATTCTTGTTGTCAGTCAGTGTCTTGCTCTTCATTCTTGAAAGAGCCAAAAGAATTAAAGAAAAAACAGACTGTGATATGTGTTGGTCTTAAGTCATGCTCACACTTTCAATTCCTGTTTCATCGTCTAGAAACGGTTATTCTATTTACTCAAAGTCACATTCAGTCTCACAATTTCAGCCTTGTATCAGACCCGTGAAGATCCGGGTTAGAATTGGTCTTCAGCAACCCATGGTTGTCATTGGAGGCGACTAACGGGATTGGGTGGTCAGGCTCGATTACTTGGTTGACACATGTCATCGTATCCCAATTCCCGTAGAGAGGTGCTCTTGCTGTTGATCACGGAAATGTCTAGTGCAGACAGGATTATTTACAGACCGCTCCATACAATTGGAATATTGCTGAATGCTGCGTTAAACAACGAACGAACAAATTTACCCCTTGGAATCCCGCCATACACGGGGTCATGCTGTAGCTTCCTTGAAGGTCAGCAGCAAGCACGATGCCGTATTTGTTGTTGCCACCGAAGTCAGAATATGTTGACCACACTTCACCATCTGGACCTTCAAAATCGTCCCACGCCAGCTGAAAACAAATACGTCAGGATAATCGTTAAGGACCATCATGTACATTTTAAATGGGATGCAAGGAAATGTGGGAAAGAAGGCGATTCACCCTTCGTTGCAACGTAAAAGAATGCTATTGTTCGCTACATAAAAATGGTATTGTTCATGCAACAGGTGCTTACCAAAGTGTGGAACATTCCTAAAGCTCTGTTATAAGACAAAACAAATTCATACGTTCAAGATCATGATGTTATTTAGTTTCTGGCAAAACATAATACGTAAAGATCAGTTACCAGTCTGTAATACCTAACTTTGGGCAAATGAGATTCCTGTTGCAATATTGATTACTTTATGAAATAGATTAAAATTCTGTCCTCCAAAAAATTTCCAAATATGTAAAGAAAATAATCATTTGAACTTTGTTCAAATCAAGATGCTGTCATTGGAAACATGCCTGTGAACATACAATATTGTGACAGCAAGGATATCGTGCCTGAACGAATGAGATAGTGTGTCTACATGACTTTGCTTTTAAAGTTCATGTGGAAAATAAATGGACCATCTATGGCAGAACCATGCTTGCAAATTTGTAAAAAGCATTCAGTGATGAGGTACATTTCAGGTAACAGGTATCCATTAAATATATAAGTTACTGTCCTTATAAGGACGTGTGTTCACGAACGAGTGCTCACCCTTCTGATCATGTTGTCTATAGCTGTGGCGGGTCTAGATGGTTTCAGGATCAGTCCGTCCGAATTCACACTCCTGAAAATCAGGGTTTTCGGTGAGATAATTTACCAGCAATAGACGAAATAGGCGGAACATATCAACAACATATACTGAGGGAAACAAATGAGGGAACGCCACTTCATGGCAGTGTTCCTTTATTTATTCTCAGATTTCCTCCCACAGCGCTATTCAAAGCTGGTGATGGAAACTAGAAAACATTAAAGGAACGCTTGAGTTCACATGGCCATTTTCCGATTTCACATCGCCATTTCTAAGTGAAAGAAAAACACCATATGTCACTTAAGGCGACGTGATCAGCAGAACCACCACATCAGAGAACGTCCTCGCATTGGTCGTCCAACCATGACACCCTTTCGCCTCGACAAATGGATTTGAACCACACATATTCCACATATTCCATGCAGTGCCTTCACTGGCACATACAACTCTTGCAATAGACAGTGACGACAGTGACAGAGCACCATTGTCTTCAGTGATCAACTCGGTTTCCTTGCTCGACGATACCAGATCACGTGATTTGTCACCAATCGAACATTTTGCTAACATTCCTAAGATATGGAATGCCATTTCCCGATACTCCTTCAACGTTGGTGACCTGAATGAAGTGTTGGTGTCAGGTCTTCATTGTCGGATTTGTATGTATCAACAACTTTTGCCTTTGATTATATCCTACCTTCAAAATATACTTCTTAAAGTTGATGATAACTGCTCAAAGCTGTTTAACGTCAAATATCATCATTTTTTATAATATGGTTCTAAATATGTATATATCTTTTGATGTTAAACGTAGGCACTTTTTCTTGGTAGGTTTTTCTTGGTACCATTAAACTTTTTTCTATAATGTTTGACATGAATTCCTAAAACAAACTACTGAATGATCAAACTGTATGATCTCGTAAACATATATTTTCCAACTCTACATACCTCATTATGATCGTCTTGTTGAATTTGCCGATCATGTCACTTGGTCCGACAGGCCCTGTGCTGAGAGTGGCCACCACTGCGTTCAACTCCGGATACGGTTCTGTTCTGTCTGTGTTGAAGAACATATTCTGATAGATACCATGCTGATTCATTCGGGAGAACAAAGTTGACAGACCACACGTGCACGCACACACACGCACGAACGAACGAATGATCGTACATTAGAAACCAAGTGTATCGATAATGAAACAATTGATAATCTAAGTATAAGAATTGAAATAGTAACTAACACTGATCATTTGTACTCTGCATCTGAAGCAGAACCAGCGTCAGATTTAGCCATCGATCCTTAACCCTCTAAATCGTCTCTGACAGGCCCAGACAGCTGACGACTAATTTTAAACAAGAATACCCACGGCATTAAAGGAATTAAAAGTGTTTGTGGTGTGTTCACATGTGTGAATCATTTACTTGAATGTTTTCCTCGCGGTTGAATTGTCGTGGTCCAGAAGTTGTCTTTGAAGGGAGCGATGCCGATAGCATAGGCCAGCATGGACGTGACTCCAATACGCCACTGGTCCTGTCCAGGGTGATAGTCTTGGCTAGCTCTTATCTACGAAAGAAATCATTGACATCCCTTTAAGCCAACCCTACGTGTGTTAAAAGAGAGAGAAGCATGTATTATCTAGTGTGTCAAGAGAAACTGAAGTGTCAGCATGTTTAGTAGTCCTACCTGTGTTACGAGAGCAAGAAGCATGCATTATCTAGTGTGTCAAGAGAAACTGAAGTGTCAGCATGTGTAGTAGTCCTACCTGTGTTACGAGAGAGATAAGCATGCATTATCTAGTGTTTCAAGAGAAACAGAAGTGTCAGCATGTTAAGTAGTCCAACCTGTGTAGTCCAACCTGTGTTACGAGTGCAAGAAGCATGCATTATCTAGTGTGTCAAGAGAAACTGAAGTGTCAGCATGTTTAGTAGTCCAACCTGTGTAGTCCAACCTGTGTTACGAGTGCAAGAAGCATGCATTATCTAGTGTGTCAAGAGAAACTGAAGTGTCAGCATGTTTAGTAGTCCAACCTGTGTAGTCCAACCTGTGTTACGAGTGCAAGAAGCATGCATTATCTAGTGTGTCAAGAGAAACTGAAGTGTCAGCATGTTTAGTAGTCCAACCTGTGTAGTCCAACCTGTGTTACGAGTGCAAGAAGCATGCATTATCTAGTGTGTCAAGAGAAACTGAAGTGTCAGCATGTTTAGTAGTCCAACCTGTGTATTCCAACCTGTGTTACGAGTGCAAGAAGCATGCATTATCTAGTGTGTCAAGAGAAACTGAAGTGTCAGCATGTGTAGTAGTCCTACCTGTGTTACGAGAGAGATAAGCATGCATTATCTAGTGTGTCAAGAGAAACTGAAGTGTCAGCATGTTTAGTAGTCCAACCTGTGTAGTCCAACCTGTGTTACGAGTGCAAGAAGCATGCATTATCTAGTGTGTCAAGAGAGACTGAAGTGTCAGCATGTGTAGTAGTCCTACCTGTGTTACGAGAGAGATAAGCATGCATTATCTAGTGTTTCAAGAGAAACTGAAGTGTCAGCATGTTTAGTAGTCCAACCTGTGTAGTCCAACCTGTGTTACGAGTGCAAGAAGCATGCATTATCTAGTGTGTCAAGAGAAACTGAAGTGTCAGCATGTGTAGTAGTCCAACCTGTGTTACGAGAGAGATAAGCATGCATTATCTAGTGTTTCAAGAGAAACTGAAGAGTCAGCATGTTTAGTAGTCCAACCTGTGTAGTCCAACCTGTGTTACGAGTGCAAGAAGCATGCATTATCTAGTGTGTCAAGAGAAACTGAAGTGTCAGCATGTGTAGTTGTCCTACCTGTGTTACGACAGGGATGGAGATCGCATGCAGTGCGTGTCTGCAGAGAGACATGCAGTACTGTATTGTCAGGCCATTCTTGGCAGCTCCACGTCCCATCTGATTGAGCCAAGTCTCTGCCAGGTGAACATCCTCAGTGAGAGCAGCAACTCCGCCAAACTCACCTTGTAGCCAGTCCTGAAGTTACGTGAGAAATGCCTTGAGTTCCAGGTGATGGTAGGTGAGGTGAGGTGTGGGGAGATAGGTGAGGTATGGGTCGCTGATATGATATGAGGCGAGGTGAGGTGAGGCGAGGCGAGGTGAGGTGAGTTGAGGTGATAGTACATGACATTAGCTGAGGAAGGTAAAGTATGTGAGATGAGGTGACTTGAAATAGGTGAGATGGGGTGAGTGGATGATGTGATGCTAGATGTGGTGATGGTAGGTGAGGTGAGTTGAGGTATGTGAGGTGAGTTGAGTTGAGTTAGTTGAGGTGAGTTGAAGTGGGTGCGGTGAGGTGAGGTGGGTGCGGTGAGGTGAGGTGGGTGAGGTTATGCAAGGTAGGTGACGTGAAGTGGGTGAGTTAAGGTGGGTGAGTGAGGTGAGGTGAGGTGGGTGAGATGAGGTGGGTGAGGTGAGATGAGGTGGGTGAGGTGAGATGAGGTGGGTGAGGTTATGCAAGGTGAGGTGAGGTAAGGTTGAACATCGCGATCAAAATTACTGTTCTTGTGTAGCAAAAACATGCACGCGTCTGTGAGTGTGACTCATCATGTACCCGACCGGTTTATTTATTTATTTTTCGAGGTTTAATATGGATACCCCTTCTCTTACTGATTCCAAGATGACCAATGCTTTTTTTCTGCATTTAGTTAGAGCCAGTGTAACAGTAGGTATAATCTTTCAGTGTTATTTTGCCATGCAGCGGACGGGAATCACCTTCTGGACGCAGTGGGCCTTCGAATGAGTAAGAAAGTATGGTTTTACGCCGCTTTTAGCAATATTTCAGCAACAATATCACATCGGGGGACACCAGAAAAGGGCTTCACATATTGTACCCATGCGGGGAATCAAAGCCGGGTCTTCAACGTTACGTGCGGACGCTTAAACCACTAGGCTACCCCAACGCCTTCGGATGTATTTGTGACAAAACAGTTTATTCCATATATTTATGTTGTAGCAATTGTTGCATCATACTCTTCCTAAACGAGACAATCAGATACTGTTGGGTCTACCTGTTCATATGTCATTAAGCCCCATTTTCGAGCGTTGCCGAGGAGGTCGTCCCAGAATGTCTGAAAACACCATTGCAACATGTAAAAAACGTTTAAACCAAAACGAATCAAAAGTGAAACCCTATAATAAATCAATGTAAGCGTACATACATACATACATACACACACACACACACACACACACACACACACACACACATACATACATACATACATACATACATACATACATACATACATACATACATACATACATACATACATACATACATACATACATACATACATACATACATACATGCATACATACATACATACATACATACATACATACACTCACGCACGCACGCACGCACGCACGCACGAACGCACGCACGCACGCACGCACACACACACATACATACATACATACATTCACGCACGCACGCACGCACGAACGCACGAACGCACGTACGCACGCACACACATACATACATACATACATACATACATACATACATACATACATACATACATACATACATACATTCATTCACGCACGCACGCACGCACGCACGAATGCACGCACGCATATATACATACATACATACACACATGCATACATACATACACACATACATACACACATACATACATACACACATACATACATACATACATACATACATACATACATACATACATACATACATACATACATACATACATACATACATACATACATACATACATACATACATACATACATACATACATACATACATACATACATACATACATTCCAATTGGATGTATTTATTGGGGGAAACGTGGTATTGTTCAACACCTCACACAAGGTTATCACACCGTAAAATCGGAAAAATATCAACATGTACACTACTAGCGAAAAGAAACGTTACCCTCCTACCTTTATGAATTCCTGAAAAGCTATCAAAGATATGTTAGAAGGTATTAGTTTACAAGAAAGCTTAACAACACAGCTTTATGCAAATCACGAAAAGAAATTCTCAAATGCATTCATATTTAGGTGAAATGCATCCTTTTCAGAAAAATTAAATTGTCCTATTTTCGTCCATGTCGAAATAAACCAACAAAAGTGATTCAGATGTCCAAAAGAAACGTTGAAATAAAATTATGCTTTGGGACAAAGATAAACCATTTCAAGTCACCATTTTTCAACTGTTAAAACAAGAAACAGCTGTTGTGGAGTGTGCAAAATTGGAAAATAATCATTCCTGTGATTACAGTCTTTTAAAACATTTTCTGCTGATTTTCATTAGTGAAAACAAGTAAAACTTGTCTTTGGTATTGTGAAAAAGTGTTTAGAACATCTAAAATTGGCTTTGTTAACATTTTTGCTCGCAAAGTAATATTTTTCCATTTTCTGTGTACACATAGCAATATCAATCGCCAAAACGCAGCAATATGCAAGCGGTATTTGCATCCATTTCACATGTGGAATGAATCTATAGGGTATGAAGAGAGACTAGAATACATGATATGATAGACAAGTACGAGAAATATGCCACGATTAACAGCTGAAGAGAGAGAAAGAGCCACTGGGATGGAGCAGATGGGGTCGACATACAATGCTGCTGCTCATGCCCTCGGATGTCACCGTATCAGGGTTCTAAGACTTATTTCAGGGCTTCAGTCAGACTGGGGTCACCGTAGACAGACCAAGAAGTGGACGTCCACGCATTACGCCAGCTGAAGATAGGCACCCCCGTCACTAAGGCAGGAGGGTAACGTTTCTTTTGGCGTTTATTGTATATAGATTCCAATTACCTGTTCAAGTGGAAGGGCCTTCGTCTTATCAACAATAAAAGAATATTGACCACCATTCTGTTTAGCGTACGTTGTGTCGCTTGCCCTGCAATTGCACATAGTTGATATATAAAGTTAGTTAGTGAGTGAGTTTTACGCCGCTTTTAGCAATATACCAGCAATATCATGTCGGGGAACACCGGAAGTGGACTTCACATATCGTTTCCATATGGGGAGTCGAACCCGTGTCTTCGGCGCGACGCTTTACCACTGGGGACAACCCTGATAGTGATAAAGAACATACACTGTGAAATGTGTAAGGATCATTTCTAATTATTCATTCTTTGTTTGTTTGCTCATATATGAGCCATCATTTTATGATACAATCTTGGTCGACATACAATATGAAATAAATATACAAACGTAAAACACTAGAATCTTGGCATAGATCCCTGTCTTTCATAATTACCTCAAGAATAACATTTTCAGGGACATCGCGGCATTTGACATTTTTTTTAAATACGTGAAATACTTAAATTTCTTAAAATGACAGTTTCCAGGGACCTTAGCATTCTGTTTACGTAACACAAATACACATGCTATTCATTCTCTGCACATTGTTTTAAACGTTGCATAATCTTTGTTCTCTTGTCGTATAATATCTTCCTGTATACACATGAAGAGTACTGAATCAAAGCTGATGCACATTGAAATTTATTAATTGATATTAAGGAGATATAACGCTCTGTAACAGTGAACAGGAAAATATTTTAGAGCTATGTCATAATGAAGAATGCCACTCTTGCACATAAGAAAATTCAAAATGTGAGACAAATTCAAATGAGTCTGGAAAACAAACTTGTTTTTTTTCCCACTTGTTCATTTGATTGTCTGGTACACACTCGATTATTGACAGACTGCCGCCATATTGCCATATTGCTGAGTGAAACGTTAATCAACAAACAAACAAACAAACAAACAAACAAACAAACAAACAAACAAACAAACAAACAAACAAACAAACAAACAAACAAACAAACAAACGGACACCTCATTCACACTGTATATATCCAAACCCATGCTTGAAACTGGGTATCATAACGTTTCACAGGATTCAAGAATATTAATTTATTATTAATTAATCGATAGGGAAACTTGTGAAATACCTACCAGTATCTGTTGTGTGCTGTAAGTGGCAAGCCTGTTTTGTTGTACAGCCACCTGGTAATTACATATAGCAAATACAGTCAGATACAGTCAACCGCTGTTGTGTCGAAGCTGAAGCCACATGTGAAAATACTTCGAGTTATACTGCATTTTACACAACCGAAATTAGATGAACAAAGAAAGAATGCGAAGGTACGAAGTTTTTATGCCCATACAATCATAGGTTCGACAGCGTTGTGTCGAAGTTGAAGTGACCTTCGTAAATACTTCGAGTTATGCAAGATTATACACAACCGAAAATAGATGAATAAAGAAAGGATGCGAAGGGGCAACCATATGTTCGACTTAAAGTTAGGTTCTAGGGTGTTTGACTGTATATATATCAACATATATGTACATACACATATATGCACATATATACACATATGTACACATGTGTACACCTATATACACATATATGCACATATGTACACATATATGCACATATGAACACCTATATAGACATATATATATATATACATATATACACATATGAACACCTATATACCCATATATACACACATATGCACATATGTCCACATATAGACACATATAGACACATATGAACACCTATATACCCATATGTACACATATATACCCATATACACATATGTACACATGTGTACACATATTCTCACAACCATTACCAATGACGGGTTTTATGTGCAAAAAAGTTGTTTCGTCAGTCCGAACGTTTAGATTATGTACAGCTAATTCCTACATTACGTTTTACTGTTAAAAAGAGACTGGCCATGTTTATTATCTGGTGTGAAAATGTTTGTGCAGTGAGGAAGATCATTTGCATATCAGATTACTTCACAAACTATTAAAACACACTGTTTAAATGTGATTAGAAACAAAATTCCTATCACTTACTGCATGCCGTTTGGAAATACTTCTGGGGTGGCCTCCCATGTCTTGACCCCATTTCCCACACCTTTGTAGTACCACCAGGAGTCGAACTGCAGGTATCTGAAGCAGGGTGAGCGAGTAAGTGATTTGGGTGTCACCCGCTCTCAGACAGTGGTTTAATAATTCCACTGCATGTTGCTTTGACCTGTTATCGAAAACAGACGCCATTCGCACATCGGACTGTGGCACCTTAAACAAATATGCCTGTACAGTGTAAGTGGCGACCTACCTGAAGGGTATTCCTGTGTCACTGATAGCAGTAGCAATGTCGATTATGGTGTCTTGGTAATTTTTCTGAGGTTCTGTATAGTAATAGTAATATGCACCTGCAAATAGAGTGAGTGCAATAGTTAATCGTTGTTTATTGTATATCAAGTATCTGTTGGAGTGGTTCCAAAGAAGAAAAACACGCATGAGCGCACACGCGCGCATGCACGCACACACACGCACACACGCACACACGCACACATGCCATACATGGAATTAGGAACGGTGGGGTAGCCTACTGGTTAAAGCCTTCTCTTGTCTCACTGAAGACCCGGTTTCGATTCCCCACATAGACAGCCACCATATAGCTGGAATATTGGTAAATGCGGCGTAAAACTAAATTCACTCACCCAACATGCACATAATGTGTGAAGCCCAACTGTGGAGTCGCCTGCCGTGATATTGCTTGAATATTGGCTGGGGGAGGGGGGGGGGGGGGGGGGGGGACCGGCACTCGTCGATCCTCCTGCGATTGGTATTTGTGTAACGGTCCACAGTCGAGGGCAGTCGAGATCCGTAGGCACACAGAACCTCCAACAACTGGTCATCCTACGGAGAGTACCCACGAATGCGCCTGTTACAACCACCATAGCTAGACATCTCTGAACTGGTATCAGTGACTAAGTGAGTTTAGTTTTACGCCGCCTTTAAGCAATATTCCTGCAATATGACGGTGGAGAACTCCAGAGAAGGGCTTCACACATTGTACCCATGTGGGAATCGAACACGGGGCCTTCGGCGTGACAAGCGAATGCTTTAACCACTAGGCTACCCCACCACCCCTGACATTGTATCAGCATGTAACAGCACAGGACAGGTTGGAGTGGAGAAGGGGTTGCCACTTCTTGCGGTCTTCTTACCGCCGTCCGTGTAGTACCCCAAATAGTTGTTGGTGAAGTCTGACTTGACAAAACTGTCGTCTCTTCTGTACATTTTTTGCAGGATTTGCCCCCAACTGACAAATCCCTGAAATTTGAAATGATTAAAATTTAACTTAATTAATTTCAATGAATAATATATAAATATAAATAAAAACATAAATTCAATCTATGCATACGTTTGATAATGAAAAATGAATCTGTTTCAATCTATGCAATATTGATATTATTATTATGCAATGAAACATATTTTTATATAATGAAATCGATATTTCATTTGAGTGTAAATAACTGTCGAAATATATACTTCCTTTAACCAGAAATGTCTCTTCTGTTTCGGATTAAAACAGATATGATAAATAGACATATTTATGAAAGCCCTGTGTGTTGTTAGCCCCTTGTATACCTTCACTTCATACTGTTTAAAGGTGAGTCAAATTTATGAGTCTCATCAGATAGGTGACATTAATGTTATATAACACACCTTGTTGATGCCTTGGTTGCTGAAGACGAGGATGGTGCTGGTTTCAAAGTTGGCGGGAACGTTGGTAACACCACCCATAGTTCCCCAGTAGATGTTGGCTAATGTGTCGGTTTTTTGGTACATGAGATTGGCGGACATGAAGGTACTGGCAGGAGACAAGATGAAAGTGTTGGCAGTCTTGTTCCGGTCGAATATACAGAAGGGGCCACTTGTGATGCCGTCGGAAATGTTAAGTGGAGGCAAAAAACTGAAAAAGAGTGATTCTACAATAATAACTTATTACGATCAGATATTTAGATGGACAAGGCAAAGAAATTGAGATATGTTTTACATATAAACACACATATAGATATACATACATACATATACACACACACACACACACACACATATATATGAAGAAGTTTCTGAAATAATCACACGACACGGATCTTCTCCAACATGTTTCACTTTTATCTTCAGGGAGAAGTGATTACAGTTAAACGGATTATGGTATGACGTCACTTTGTCATGACGTCACAATTCAACTGTATACAAATGTTGTGACGCGGCGTTGCCATGACGTCACATTGGCGGCTTTATATTGACAGTACTAGTAGCACAATGTAGCACTAGTAGCACTCCGTTTGTCCAATGTATTCTTCATGACACCCTTGGCATATAATAACATAAATAATATGTTTTGCGGAGCAATATGGTGCTGGTTTCAAAGTTATAAGTTCATGTTTTAAAACACATATTGACACGTGCCACATTCGACTCATGTATTAAACCTACAGAATTCAGTGTCTCAAAATGTAAACGGGGAAATTGTGGAACTTGTGAATAAATACTTGAAACTTCATGTATAAAGTTCAAAAACAGGAAGCAATTATTTCATGTACGCTCTAACATGGACTGCTCCGCAAAACATATTATTTATGTTATCATATGCCAAGGGTGTCATGAAGAATACATTGGACAAACGGAGTGCTTGAGGGACAGAATGCGCGTCCATAAACAACAGATTAAGGACCCCAAAACAAGGTGCATCCCCTTAAGCGCACACATTGACAAATGCGCAGCAGGAAAGGAAATAAAATTTAAAATATTTCCTTTCTATAAAATGAATACTGCTGACGCCATGCAGCGTAAAGCTAAAGAAAACTTTTTCATCAAAGAATTGTGTCCATCGTTAAATAGGTAACGCAATGTGTCTGAATTATACTTGTTTTCATTGTGCTACTAGTACTGTCAATATAAAGCCGCCAATGTGACGTCATGGCAACGCCGCGTCACAACATTTGTATACAGTTGCAATGTGACGTCATAACATAATCCGTTTAACTGTAATCACTTCTCCCTGAAGATAAAAGTGAAACATGTTGGAGAAGATCCGTATAGTGTGATTATTTCAGAAACTTCTTCTTATATATGTACTACTGTACGCTCGGTATTCTCATCACTGTCTATATATATATATGTATATATATATATATATATATATATATATATATATAAATGTGTGTTATGTTTTGAACAAGAATATGTACATGATAGATGTTTAATGTCAGGTGCATAGGCTTATATAATATATAATATATATTTTCGTATATTCGTGTGTGTCCAAACTCATGTATTACCATGCCAAAAGCATTTTATATATTCTATTGCTTCTGCACCAAATACATCACTTATTCTGTAATAACTTTCCAATTATATATGTTACAATATTCATATATTACATACATGAAATCACTCGTCTTCACGGTATAGCTACAATATTGATGTTGATTTTAACTCAGTCACTTTGAATAATGAATTGCCAATTGTCCTTTAGATCAAGATCAAGATTTTGGGGGAGTTGATTCCATCCCGGATGCCCTAATGAGTTGCGTTTCTTCGTGGCACCGGGGCGGTGCGGTTGCCTTGTGGTTAAGGCGTTCGCTCGGGTTCGATTCCCCACATGGGTACAATGTGTGAAGCCCATTTCGGGTGTCCCCTCTGTGATATTGCTGGAATATTGCTAAAAGCTACGTAAAACTCACTCACTCACTCTTCGTGGTGCCATCATCTGATAATGATCCATTTTGTCGGCAGGGCACCTGCCCACGAATGCCGTCAATGCGGGCTTTATAACGGTAAACAGTGGCACCAAACCAAATGTCATCACTCATTCACTCTGTATCCCTGTACATACTCTCCAAATGTTTTTTCTTGATATCCAAATTGACCACCACCGTACGACAGGAAGCCACGGGGTACAGGCGTATTCTCCACAACGAAACCAGGAAACCCGGCTATGACGTCATCATTTGTGTTTGCCATCGTTCCATTCGTTGCGTTTAGGTACGTCTATGGAGAACAAAACAAAAGCACGTATGAATGATCCATCCAATGCAGTTTAGGGATCATAACATTCCTTTAGGTAACAGACTGGTTGTATCACTGTTAAGTTGGTATCTTTGTTTGTTTAAAGCCACACTAAGCAATATTCCAGGGTCCCGTTTCACAAAGCTCTCGTAAGTCTAAGATGTCGTAACTCTTCTCGTCGCATTCGTACCTCCTATGTTACAGTATAGGGTACGAATGCTACAAGAAACGTTACGAGATCTTAGGCTTACGAGAGCATTGTAAAACAGGGCCCAGCTATAATCCAGGTCTGTAAATAATCTAGTTTGGACTCGACAATCCAGTGATGAAAATCATCAGCATCGATCTTAACCTGTTTGATATCAAATCTGGGACATGATTGGTCGTCGTGTGCAGCAAAGGATCATGCTGTGCAGAACCTGGCCCAATTGGAAGCTGCTTTACACGAGGATCTGAAGATCAGGGCGCTGACAGGGGGTATGAGGAGGAGAATGCTGGTTGTCATACAGTGACAATGAAGTTACACTCGGTATTGACCTTGAACCGTGTTAGATACGCAAAATAACATTTTGAATGTTCACATTCACCAATAAATTCAACAATAAACATTCCAGGGCCATACTTGTACAGACATGGTTTTGTATGAAAATCAGCGTGTGTCGTTTAAATGAGCAATTATCATCATAAAATCAACATGGATTCCAATCATTTTGTCGGGTTTTGTATGCGTGAAAGGATCGTACGGGTCAGAAAAACTAATATATTTCCATTGTGGTCACCCCGAGAAGTTTTATGAACGTTTTAAACATCCATCATTGCAAACATACAGTGGATGCTTAAGTAAGTTCTTTGTGCATATATAGATAGAGGGACTTTGCATAGAGGAACAAAGAAGTATCGTCAATACGCATGTTAGACGTACAAAGTATCTGTATTTCAAACTATGAGAAGAAAGTCAAACCTGTTTGAAGATGACAAATTGTTCAGGTGGGTTGTTGTAGGAGAAGATATTTGGGTCGGGCGTGTAGAGGTAGATGCCGGCTAGAAAGCGGTGAGTGTCGGCTTGGTAGAGGAAGTTGGTGGCCTGCCATTTGCCGATGAAGTCAGATCCAGATGTTACTGTGGTCTCCAGAAGCTTCAAGGAGCCATCATCGGTGCTGTAAAGCTTATTGTTGGCTCGGAAGAAAGTCGGGGCGCTATTCAGCCAGACATTTCCCCCAACACTGATGGAATAGTGACCGCTGGTGTAGACGGTGATGGTATAACTATCACCTCTTGTGCTGCCTGAACACATGAAGCAACAATTATGAATAGAACGTCCAGATTTTACTGACGATCCGGGATACGAACCCACGTTTTCAGAGTCAGACACCCAATTGATACTATTAGACACAAACAATAGGTAACATTGGAAAAAAATAGTAGAAAGCTGAATTTTTCAGTAAAAGCTTCAGAACATCATTGCCATGTACAAAATACAAAGTTCTGCAAATTCTACCTTGTGGAATTTTCAAAATGGCCGCTAATTTCAAGATGGCCGCTAAAATCATTAAAATGATTATGCAAACAGATATTTTGTAAATAATTATGGCATGTGATATATCAAATGAAAGCTCATCTCACAGGGATTCCAAATATATTGACATCATGCCTTGTGACATTTTCAAAATGGCCGCCAATTTCAAAACGGCCGCCATTGTCCTTAAAATAATCAAAATAATCAAATAATCTCAGGAAAATATTTCTTTTTAATTAACCATACCTTGTGATGTGTTAAAAGAAAGCCCTTCTGACAAGGAATCTAAACATATTACTTTTAACAACGCACATACATAAGACAATTAATTAAGGCATGATAGCCACACATTTTATGCTTTTGCTTTTGGTACCAGACGTCGAATATATATCCACTTACATTAACCGTATGAAAGCAGAGAATTGGTTAATATCCTGAGAAGCTTTTCCTTTGCTGATCAATATAGACAGGTCCAACGCTTGTATTATGCACTTCTTTCAGGAGACAAATCTTTGGATATTGAGGGTGAGCTTGTCAATTTCATATTTGACAATGCTGATATCAATGTTAGCACTACCATTGTCTTTGGTACGTGGCATGTTTTAGGTGGAGTTGCTTGTGTGACGCCAGTCAGGAAAGAGCCCATTCAGATATCTATACCTCGCTCCACTCAAATCATGATATCAACTGACGTAGCAGCTGAGGGCACAAAGATCCCTGTCAAGGTATACCTCAAACCATCTACATCGGGCCTACAGTCAAGATTGGACCAATTGAACTACCCAAACCAACTGTGCCAATTTTTCGCTTGACAAAGCCTTTGGACAATCTATGGCTAGCAAACTTTTTCACTTGACATGCCACTCTCACAACGTCCATCATGGAGCAGATTTATGCAGTCATCTGTAACTGAAGACAACAACGAAAGAAGCAAAATTCAGATTTTGCCATTTGTCAACCAGGTCCCATTAAGGCCCGACACAATCTGCTCTGCTCTATCATTTGTACAGTTGTTGGCTGAAAACCAACATCTTGGGATTTGTCCAGTAACATTTGACCAGCCCCTCTACATTAAAGCAGCAGAAATTGTGGAATCGGCACATCCACAGCTCAACAGGGTTGTCCTTAAATTAGGACGGTTTCATTTACTCATGTCATACATGGGTTCAATTATATATGTGATGGGTGGAAGCAGCTTGGAAGATCTTTGGGCGACTGTTTATGCACCTAATTCTGTAATCCTCATGCTGACAGGCCATGCTTATGCCCGTGCACCTCGAACTCATCTGCTGTCATCTGCGGCTATCATGTCCATCCTACTGCAATCAACCGATGTTCTTGATTCTTTGAATGTGGAAAACTGCGTACCATACATGGCAGTTTGTTAGGTGGCGATATTGGCTCCCCTGACTCTCAAAACCTGGACAATATCCTACGGCTAGCTGAAACTGTTGATGATTTGAAGACTGACATCAAAGTATCATCAATAAGCAGGACAGGTAGACTTTGGATAGACTATTAGGAACAAGTGTCATTGATTCAGCAGTTCATTCGTGCGGAGCGCACAGGAGACTGGAACCTACATCTGCTGTCTGTCAGCCAGATGATTCCCTTATTCCATGTTGCTGGTCATCTTGCCAAATCTGCACGTCTGTATCTGGAAGAAATGAAAAATCCAAAGGACAAAATGTCACCAGATCAGTTCAAGGCCTACACAGAACAAGGGCACTTCACCATCCGTAGAACTGCCAAATTCTGGAGTGGTAACTTCACTGACGTGGTCGTGGTATAACTGACAGCACTCTCGCCAAATGGGTCCATGCAATGCCACAGTGCATACCAATATGTCATGCTTTAGAGAGGTTCACAGGAGTGCATGGCCAAACAGACCTTCATTTATGTAACATCATGAGAGACAACAAGGACTATGGAACATTATTCCATTGGCTGAAAGATCATTCTCCTTTCTCCTATGAAGAGCATGAGTCGCTCATCTGCATAGGAAAGCAGTTTCTATAGGAATGGAGGCAGCTTCAGCAGTGACAGGTCAGATGTTTGCTGACATAAAGTTGAAGCGCAAAGATAAGGTGATAAGCATCAGTGAGGAAAAGAATCAAATCAAAATCAGAGGAGAGCCAGTCCAAGTAAACTCTGAGCTGCTATTCATGTGAGTCGCCTGTGTGATAGAGGATAAGTCAGAGATGAAGTTGTACCTACTTCATGAATTAGCCAAGCAACCACCTGCCTTGTTTGACAAAGGCATGATGCGAAATAATATGAAGTGTGTTCTGGCTAATCAACTGAAATCACAAGTCCAACTCCACAATGACCAGACCATCCAAAAGGAGAGCATTATGTCATTGACGGTGGCCACCTGCTACAAAGTTTGCCTTGGCCCACGGATGCTACATACAGCCAGATATGTGACAGCTATGTGTCCTTTGTGCTTCAACATAACGGTTCAGCATCTTCAGTGGTGTGATGGATATGGCAGTGCGTGTTCCACAAAATCTGCTGAGCCGAACATATCATCCCAAATCATTTTTGAGCCAGACCTGAAAGTAACAACTTCATTTAAACCTTTTCTGAGCAACAAGAAGAACAAAGGTCGATTCAGAACATTATTGAAGGGAAGACTTGCCAGAGAAGATTTGCTGTGCAACAGAGCCCTGCAGATGCTGACTGCTTGATTGCTTCAACTGCAATTAACAAGGCCAGAGACAACCAATCACCTGTTGTTGTCGTGGGGAACGACACGGACCTGTTGGTAATGTTGATTGCACAAGCCACAAATGACATGGATCTTTACAGAAAACCATGCCCAATATATGACAGCATCTGATGTTTGTTCATGCAATAACAGGCTGTGATACAGCATCAGCCATCTCCAATCAGGGGGAAAAGAAAGCTCTATTCCAGGAGAGGTCCAATTGGGATTGCTTGGATGTTTTTCTTCAATTTGACAGTTCAAATGATGGCATTGCACACGTTGGAGAGATGTTCATGCTTAAACTCTATGGAGCTGTGGACTCAACATCACTGGATGAACACCGCAACAACATGTACTTAAAGTCTATTCATCGAGCCTCTGTGTCCTCTTCAGGTTTCAAACTGGAATCACGTCCCCCAACTTCAGCAGCCACTAAATTCCGCAGCTACCGTGTGTACCATACGGTTCAGCAATGGCAAGGGAATGAGCTTTCACCAACAGAGTGGGGATGGCAAATCAAGGTTGGGGTCCTTGTTCCTATTGAGACAGATAGAGCAATTGCTCCCGAGAAAGTCTTGAAGATGATATCTTGTGGATGCAAGTTTGAGGGCAGGAGACGGTGCAGTTTGTCAAAGAGCAGGAATTGAGTGCACATTGCTTTGCACTGGATGTCGAGGATTGCCAACCTGCCAAAATGTACTCAGTATTGAAGAATGAGATGTTGTGATTGACAAAAGACCTTATGATACATCAGTCAAAGAGTGAAGATTACAGAGAGTTTCAAAATTTACTAACTAAAAATAATGATATTGATAATTGTACAAGTGATTTACCATCAATTTGGTGATCACAGCTGTCTTGCTTAACCAACCATGAGTAGCCATTTTGACGTCTGGTACCAAAAGCACAAGCATAAAATGTGTGGCTATCATGCCATAATTAATTGTCTTATGCATGTGCGGTGAGTAATATGAGTAATATGTTTAGATTGCTTGTCAGAAGGGCTTTCTTTTAACACATCACAAGGTATGGTTAATTAAAAAGAAATATTTTCGTGAGATTATTTTGATTATTTTAAGGACAATGGTGGCCATTTTGAAAGAGCCACAAGGCATGATGTCAATATATTTGGAATCCCTGTGAGATGAGCTTTCATTTGATATATCACATGGCATAAATATTTACAAAATATCTGTTTGCATAATTATTTTAATGATTTTAGCGGCCATCTCGAAATTTGCGGCCATTTTGAAAATTCCACAAGGTAGAACTTGCAGAACTTTGTATTTTGTACATGGCAATGATGTTCTGAAGCTTTCCTGAAAAATCAGCTTTCTACTATTTTTTTCCAATGTCACATGTCTAATGCTCCTGGCCTTTATACAATGTAGATGATCCAGACTTCCAGTTGTCAGACTTTCATTTACTTTGGAAGCTGCTCAGGCTGAATGGGTTAGATCGCTTTTTGGCGATTACATGAATGGCACGGAAAGTGCGGGTGCGTATCCGGATGGGACTCAATCCCCACATGTATTTTTATCCAAAATATAACATACATTATGTCTGACCGTTTTCTAAATGGCATTGTGTTCTCATTACAGTTGTGGACACTTATCTTAATTATGTTTGCATGTTTTCTTTTGTGGAGTTCTCAATCCAAGGCTTTGTCGTTTCCGAGATTTCAGTTGACCATCGCCCTGTGTGATCACTGAGGAATTACAAGTATGTCAATATGTCAACTCGCTGGTGCTTCCATTAATTTACAACTATTCAGGTACTTTCAAGACTTCGAAGAGCATTATACGACACTTGATTAGAAGTTGTTTGATCAAGGTTACAACGATTTATTGAAGGCATGTGGAATACATTTAATTTTTTACGTATCGTGACAAAACAGATGTTCGATTTAATTCCCTATTTTGATTTTTGATTTGTTGTTTTACGACGCGCTATATGGCGGCGGTCTGTAAATAATCGAGTCTGGACAAGACAATCCAGTGATCAACAGCATGAGCATCAATTTACGCAATTGGGATACGATGACATGTGTGAACCAAGTCAGCGAGGCTGACCACCTAATCCCGTTAGTCGCTTCTTACTACAAGCATGGGTTTCTGAAGACCAATTCTAACCCGGTTCTTCACGGGTCCTTATTTTGACTTGAATGTTTCCGGATTTATTGCAGGTTTACAATTAAATAGCATTCGCATATGCAAATTGATTAATATCTTGTCAGTTTAATGTACAGGCTGACGAACAAAGCTCTTGACAGGAATTTGGGTTACCTGCAGTTTTAGATAACAACGCTTTCTATTTTGACATTCTCTGCTTGGACTTCGAAGATTTGCCATGACTCGCAGTGCATGTGCAAAAAATACCAAATACCAAATACAATAAACTACCTTTCTAGCAACACCGCTTATAACGATCTGTTGGATATAACGAATATTTTGTTGGTCTTTGGTCAGCCACTGTCTTGCTATATATTATAGTCGATAGTTATGACGAACAACGTTTTAACCGAACCAAACATTGGTACTCCCTTTGATTTCGTTATAAACGTAGTTTACTCTACCTGTACTTCTTCCTTTCTGAGTGAGTGAGTGAGTGAGTGAGTGAGTGAGTGTGGTTTTACGCCGCTTTTAGCAATATTTTAGCAATATCATTTCTGGGACACCAGAAATGGGCTTTACACATTGTATCTATGATGGGAATCGAATCCGGGTCGTGACGAGAGAACGCTTTAACCACAAGCTATCCCACGGCGCTATTTCTTTCTGAAGTGTATCATACTGCTTTGTATATTTAGCGTATCATTCCAAGTGGTGATTATGAGATCTAACCATAAACCACACTTCAGTTCAGGCGTAATTTGTAATTTACTTTTGAAAACGTTGTTACTCATTACTCTTATTCCATAAGACGGCTATTATATAAATTGATATTGTTACGTTAACCAATTATACATCAAAATAGTCTGTTATATGAGTTTTTTCAGAAAAATAATTTCTTTGAATGCCTGAGTATTATTGTTTTTTCAACAATGTTTAGAAGAGTTTACGAAACAAACACTTTAAGATACGAGATAAGACCTAGTGGTCTAGCGAGTTGTCTCATTCTACATCATTTCTCTTCATATGTAGGTAGACAGCCTCCGTGGTGTAGTGGTTAGAGCGTCCGCCCGGAGAGCGGAAGGTCGCGGGTTCGATCCCCGGCTGCGTCATACCAAAAGACGTTAAAATATGGTACTTGTTGATCCCTGCCTGGCGCTCGGCATCAATGGGTACAACAAGGACTGGTCGGCTTGGAGTCAGTATAATGTGTCTGAGTGGGGTATTCATGCTTCACTGCGGCATGGTATCTCAGTGTGCTAGCGCTATAAAACCAGCTTCAGTCTGGGCTAGTACAAGCAGCCGCACATACACATACATACGCATGCACGTCGTCATATGAGCGAAATATTCTCAAGCACGACGTTAAACCCAATTTCACCTCACCTCACCTCATATACATACAATGTATAGTGTTTATCAATACAATGTAAATGAAATAAATTAACTTTAACACACCGACCTGCAGCAGAAACAAGTACCAGGATAGCGAGAAGGAAACTGGCAGCCATCTCCGTCTCTGTTGGCTACACTAGTGGAACAAGATCAGGTCTTCTCTACACAACTTAGCAGTTTCTTATCGCCCTCGACCCAACAAATACGTGTGGTATGCCTATCTACATTTTACTGATAATCCACACGAAAATGTTCGAGAAAGTTTCATTTTTTCAATGCTTACTATGCAGAAAATATTTAACTTGTCACGCATTTGGAAATCCCGCTTATATTAAGTATGCTTTGTTTAGTGATTACATAAGGATGTAACCGAAATGTGAGTGAACTGTATTTATTGATCACGTCAAATATGTATATAGCCATACTCTGTACGCACTGAGGATAAATTGACGGTCGAGGACCAAATTTTTTAGTGCCCCGATATGCTTATGTATAATGACTTGAAATCATCTTTGAGATCAATCCTATCATAATTTGTGATTTGTCATGTTTGTAATGAATTGTGTCTCACATTATCTGATGGGGATGAGAGATGTTGATATGCACTATCCCCTATAGCTAATGCTCTGGTAGGTGCACGATGTATACCTTCCCATAGTGACGATTGTGAGATGTACATCGAGACCAACAATCACGGGTCTTGGCAGCGCTTGAAAAAAGCCAAAAGCCAGTCTTTTGACAGTGAATGTTCTTGAAACCACATAGCTCAACAAAACCAATAATCTTCAAGGAAAGATATATATTTATACGCTTTGTGATTAAACATGTTGATAACATATTCTGTTATATACCTGTGTATAAACAAAAGTTTTGTGTATGAATATATACACTAATAAACATTTTTGTGAATGTGAATATTGTAAAAAAGTGAATGATTTCAGGAATAATGTCTAACAATAGTTTTTGGTTAAAATAGACCAAGGCAAGACGACAAACACTAGTCTCCCAGTCCACACAACGGTCGCCTTCCTTTCACATAAAACGCAAGGTCTGTTTGTAGAGATCTTGTATGCCATGCCTTGAAACCCGAAATGACGAGTCATAGCCGACTTTGTAACCGGGAGCTTGATATATGGTGTTCTTAACCTTTATCAATGGAATCTTCTTTCCACAGGCGGACCAAGAACAAATAGCAATCTGGCACGACCGCCTGAAGTAGGAAATACCCAAGGGTCCGTACTAGCTCATCACTTTTCGACGAGACACTACAGATGCAATGTGAGGCAGGCGGCACACCCCAAAACGAAGAGATGAAATCGCAACAGAGGACTGATTTCATCTTTAAAAAAATCAACGTCAAGGGTCAAGTGGCAAATATAACAACCCGTGCTTGTGTTGTATTTGTTTAGATGCTCCATCTTTCTGCCTATTCTACATTCCTGAGCTAACATTGGTCAACAACAGTGTCTGCATCTGATCAAATGTGTCATGCATACTGGTGTATACGTGAGTATGTTTGGTGCAATGCATAATGTATTACTCCAAAAACGTATTCCAAACCAAAGGATGCGTAAATGCAAAATAGCACACATCACGGCAGTTGTGCAAGAAATAGGTTCAGGATAGGTGGGTGAAAATTGTCACGTGTATGTTTCCTATTTTAGCCAGAAAAGTTTTATATTAAAGTACTATCGGAAATAGAAACAAAACTGTTTTAGGCTGTTACTCTGTATCCCTAAAATTTACACAATTGCAAATAGCATATGTCGAAATACCCCCCATCTTCTAACTGGGCATTCAGTAGGATGCGTAATAGGATATCCAGAAAAGCATGTATACTGGTAAAATCAGGCAAAACTTAGAAAAACTACGAATAGCTGCTGAAAACAATAGATCAGACTATAGACTGCAATTAGGTCGCTCAGCCAGGTATGACGACGGACCGTCGACTCACTTGGCATAAAATGCCCGTGCTGCTGTCAGGCACAAGATGTCATCTCAAAGATATTTTATGCTTTTTCACGTGCATGGAATAGGCCTGTTGATTATCATCTTACGTGTCTTTCTTTTATGAAGTTTATGCAAAAGAGTGTGATACCCATAGAAAAGCTTAAATCAGCCATCGTATTAAATGTCTCAAAATATATAGGCATTTATTGCTACAAATAATGTCATAATATAAACTGTGACGCATGTTGTATTCTATCAATATGTGCATCCCCAGGCTTTGTAACTAATAGTAGCAAATCCTGAGTCGCCAAGGTCACATTGAAGACTTTTTGACAGCCCGTCAGTGTTGAACGAAAAGTTGACAATTTCATTAGCTCCCCCTGCAATACGGACGATGATGTCGCTGCTGTCAAAGTTGATGTCAACAACTCTCTGTGGAGACATTGGCACCCACTTGTCAAGTTCTCCTTGAATCAAGACCTGTTGACTGAAAATAGAAAAAGCGTGCACAGGAGTGAGTGGCTGAGTGACAGTATTTCAATGATATCACATCGATGAATACTGAATCTGAGGTGAGAATTGTCAAAGTGCGGATCCTGCATTGCTAAGGGAGACGACTCTTCATTTAAGACGCCTTGATCATAGACTAACGTCTAGTCTCTTAAATGGACATACACATGTATTTTACAGAAAAACAGATTCATAAATGATAATCATAAAATGTAATGAAAAGGAGCCCCGAGACTTCCTGAGACAGTGGAAATTTAGACTTGCCACATATTCTATACTTACATGAGCTTTCTTGGATATATACTGAAAGCCATTAGAAACGCATCGCCCATTCTGATGATATAAGTTTTACTGACGTGAATGGACTTGCCACATATTCTAGACTTACGTGAGATTTCTTGGATATATTTGTTTCAGGGTCTGTGTGACAGACTACCTGCATCCCTGTTAAAAGCGTGTTTTTCTATTTAAAAAAAAATATCTAATACAGCTCACTGCGACATTCCTTCCAAACATACAATCTATCCAATCTCAAAGTTTACACTCAGTGAACGATTTGTGGCTTGATCCTCACCCTCCATATGTTGTAACGGGTGAGACATAGTACAGACAGAAGTCCACCATGGTACAACCACTCAGCAGGAGAGGCTGGGGGTCTGTCAGCAGCTGCACCTTGTTTGGGTCTTTGGCAGAGAACACCATAGACTTGGGGAACTGGACGTATACAGTTTGTTAAATGTATTTCCAATAACTGACTACCGTAGAATGAAATGGACGAACACAAGCTGCACTGAAAATTACTGAAGCTTTTAAGTAAATAATATTTTGGTTTGTTCCCGGATTCTTGTTCTCAGTCAGTGCCTTGCTCTTCATTCTTGAAAGAGCCAAAAGAATTAAAGAAACAGCAGACTCTGATATGTGTTGGTCTTAAGTCATGCTCACACTTTCAGTTCCTGTTTCATGGTCTAGAAACGGTTATTCTATTTACACAAAGTCACATTCAGTCTCACAATTTCAGCCTTGTATCAGACCCGTGAAGATCCTGGTTAGAATTGGTCTTCAGCAACCCATGGTTGTCATTGGAGGCGACTAACGGGATTGGGTGGTCAGGCTCGATTACTTGGTTGACACATGTCATCGTATCCCAATTCCCGTAGAGAGGTGCTCTTGCTGTTGATCACGGAAATGTCTAATGCAGACAGGATTATTTACAGACCGCCGCCATGCAAAATTGGAATATTGCTAAAAGCGGCTTAACAATATACTCACTCACTCACTCACTCACTCACTCACTCACTCACTCACTCACTCACTCACTCACTTACTTAGATATGGTTGCATTTAAAATCATGTATGCGAGTACCCCTCCATCTCTTACCCCTTGGAATCCCGCCATACACGGGGTCATGTTGTAGCTTCCTTGAAGGTCAGCAGCAAGCACGATGCCGTATTTGTTATTGCCACCGAAGTCAGAATATGTTGACCACACCTCGCCATCTGGACCTTCAAAATCGTCCCACGCCAGCTGAAAAGCAAGTACGTCAGGATAATCGTTAAGGACCATCATGTACATTTTAAATTGGATGCAAGGAAATGTGGGAAAGAAGGTGATTCACCCTTCGTTGCAACGTAAAAGAATGCTATTGTTCGCTACATAAAAATGGTATTGTTCATGCGACAGGTGCTTACCAAAGTGTGGAACATGCCTAAAGCTCTGTTATGAGACAAAACAAATTCAGACGCTCAAGATCATGATGTTATTTTGTTTCTGGCAAAGCATAATACGTAAAGATCAGTTACCAGTCTGTAATGCCTAACTTTGGGCAAATGAGATTCCTGTTGCAATATTGATTAAATTATGAAATAGATTAAAATTCTGTCCTCTAAATAATTTCAAAATATGTAAAGGAAATAATCATTTGAACTTTGTTCAAATCAAGATGCTGTCAGTGGAAACATACCTGTGAACATACAATATTGTGACAGCAAGGGTATCGTGCCTGAACGAATGAGATAGTGTGTCTACATGACTTTGCTTTTAAAGTTCATGTGGAAAATAAATGTTATGAAAAAATGGACCATCTATGGCAGAACCTCTGTTTGCAAATTTGTAAATAGCATTCAGTGATGAGGTACATTTCAGGTACAAGGTATCCATTAAATATATAAGTTACAGTCCTTATAAGGACGTGTGTCCACGAACGAGTGCTCACCCTTCTGATCATGTTGTCTATAGCTGTGGCGGGTCTAGATGGTTTCAGGATCAGTCCGTCCGAATTCACACTCCTGAAAATCAGGGTTTTCGGTGAGATAATTTACCAGCAATAGACGAAATAGGTGGAACATATCAACAACATATACTGAGGGAAACAAATAAGGGAACGCCGCTTCATGGCAGTGTTCCTCTATTTATTCTCAGATTTCCTCCCACAGCGCTATTCAAAGCTGGTGATGGAAACTAGAAAACATGAAAGGAACGCTTGATTTTTTCTGAGTTCACATGGCCATTTTCCGATACCAGATCACGTGATTTGTCACCAATCGAACATTTTGTTATTTTTCCTAAGATATGGAATGCCATTTCCCAGATACTCCTCCAGCTATTTGGTGACCTGAATGAAGTGTTGGTGTCAGGTCTTCATTGTCGGTTTTGTATGTATCAACAACTTTTGCCTTTGAGTATATCCTAATACCTTCAAAATATACTTCTTAAAGTTGATGATAACTGCTCAAAGCTGTTGACGTCAAATATCATCATTTTTTATAATATAGTTCTAAATATATATATCTTTTGATGTTAAACGTAGGCATGTGTTCTTGGTAGGTTGTTTGCCTCGTACCATTAAACCTTTTTCTATAATGTTTGATATGAATTCCTAAAACAAACTGCTGAATGATCAAACTGTATGATCTCGTAAACATATATTTTCCAACTCTACATACCTCATTATGATGGTCTTGTTGAATTTGCCGATCATGTCACTTGGTCCGACAGACCCCGTGCTGAGAGTGGCCACCAGTGCGTTCAACTCCGGATATGGTTCTGTTCTGTCTGTGTTGAAGAACATATTCTGATAGATACCATGCTGATTCATTCGGGAGAACAAAGATGACAGACCACACATGCACGCACACGCACACACGCACGAACGATCGTACATAAGAAATCAAGTTTATCGATAATGAAACAATTGATAATCTAAGTATAAGAATTAAAATAGTAACTAACACTGATCATTTGTGCTCTGCATCTGAAGCAGAACCAGCGTCAGATTTAGCCATCGATCCTTAACTCTCTAAATCGTCTCTGACAGGCCCAGACAGCTGACGACTAATTTTAAACAAGAATACCTTCGGCATTAAAAGAATTAAAAGTGTTTGTGGTATGTTCACATGTGTGAATCATTTACTTGAATGTTTTCCTCGCGGTTGAATAGTCGTGGTCCAGAAGTTGTCTTTGAAGGGAGCGATGCCGATAGCATAGGCCAGCATGGACGTGACTCCAATACGCCACTGGTCCTGTCCAGGGTGATAGTCTTGGCTAGCTCTTATCTACGAAAAAAATCATTGCATGTTATAAATTTGACATCCCTTTAAGCCAACCCTACGTGTGTTAAAAGAGAGAGAAGCATGTATTATTTAGTGTTTCAAGAGAAACTGAAGTGTCAGCATGTTTAGTAGTCCAACCTGTGTTACGAGAGGGATAAGCATGCATTATCTAGAGTTTCAAGAGAAACTGAAGTGTCAGCATGTTTAGTAGTCCAACCTGTGTTACGAGAGAGAGAAGCATGTATTATCTACTGTTTCAAGATAAACTGAAGTGTCAGCATGTGTAGTAGTCCTACCTGTGTTACGAGAGAGATAAGCATGCATTATCTAGTATTTCAATAGAAACTGAAGTGTCAGCATGTTTAGTAGTCCTACCTGTGTTACGAGAGAGATAAGCATGCATTATCTAGTGTTTCAATAGAAACTGAAATGTCAGCATGTTTAGTAGTCCTACCTGTGTTACGAGAGAGATAAGCATGCATTATCTAGTGTTTCAATAGAAACTGAAGTGTCAGCATGTTTAGTAGTCCTACCTGTGTTACGAGAGAGATAAGCATGCATTATTTAGTGTTTCAAGAGAAACTGAAGTGTCAGCATGTTTAGTAGTCCAACCTGTGTTACGAGTGCAAGAAGCATGCATTATCTAGTGTTTCAAGAGAAACTGAATTGTCAACATATTTAGTAGTCCTACCTGTGTTACGAGAGCGAGAAGCATGCATTTGCTGGTGTTTCAAGAGAAACTGAAGTGTCAACATATTTAGTAGTCCTACCTGTGTTACGAGTGCAAGAAGCATGCATTATCTAGTGTTTTGAGAGAAACTGAAGTGTCAACATATTTAGTAGTCCTACCTGTGTTACGATTGCAAGAAGCATGCATTATCTAGTGTTTCAAGAGAAACTGAAGTGTCAGCATGTGTAGTAGTCCTACCTGTGTTACGACAGGGATGGAGATCGCATGCAGTGCGTGTCTACAGAGAGACATGCAGTACTGTATTGTCAGTCCGTTCTTGGCAGCTCCACGCCCCATCTGATTGAGCCAAGTCTCTGCCAGGTGAACATCCTCAGTGAGAGCAGCAACTCCGCCAAACTCACCTTGTAGCCAGTCCTGAAGTTACGTGAGAAACGCCCTGAGTTCCAGGTGATGGTAGGTGAGATGAGGTTTGGGGAGATAGGTGAGGTATGGGTCGCTGATGTGATATGAGGCGAGGTGAGGTGAGGCGAGGCGAGGTAAGGTAAGGTGAGTATGGTAGTTGAGTTGAGGTGATAGTACATGACATTAGCTGAGGTAGGTGAGGTAAAGTATGTGAGATGAGGTGACTTGAAATAGGTGAGATGAGGTGAGTGGGTGATGTGATGCTACAGATGAGGGATGATAGGTGAGGTGGCTGAGGTGGGTGAGGTTGGCGAGGTGAGGTGAGGTGGGTGAGGTGGGGTGGGGTGAGGTGAGGTGGGTGAGGTTATGCAAGGTGCGGTGGGTGAGGTGGGGGAGGTGAGTGAGGTGAGCTGAGGTGGGTGAGGTTATGCAAGGTGGGGTGGGTGAGGTGGGTGCGGTGGGTGAGTTGAGGTAATGCAAGGTGAGGTGGGTGAGGTGGGTGCGGTGGTGCGGTGAGGTGAGGTCGTGTGGTGAGGTTATATGCAAGGTGAGGTGGGTGAGGTGGGGTGAGGTGAGGTGAGGTGAGGTGAGGTGAGGTGAGGTGAGGCGAGGCTTAACATCGCGATCAAAATTACTGTTCTTGGGCAGCAAAAACATGCACGCGTCTGTGAGTGTGACTCATCATGTACCCGACCGGTTTATTTATTTATTTTTCGAGGTTTAATATGGATACCCTTCTCTTACTGATTCCAAGATGATCAATGCTTTTTTTCTGCATTTAGTTAGAGCCAGTGTAACAGTACGTATAATCTTTCAGTGTTATTTTGCCATGCAGCGGACGGGAATCACCTTCTGGACGCGGTGGGCCTTCGAATGAGTGAGTAAGTATGATTTTACGCCGCTTTTAGCAATATTCCAGCAACAATATCACATCGGTGGACACCAGAAATGGGCTTCACATATTGTACCCATGCTGGGAATCAAAGCCGGGTCTTCAGCGTGACGTGCGGACGCTTAAACCAATTGGCTACCCCACCGCCTTCGGATGTTTTAGTGACAAATCAATGTATTCGATATATTTATGTTGTAGCAATTGTTGTATCATACTCTTCCTAAACGAGACAATCAGATACTGTTGTGGGTCTACCTGTTCATATGTCATTAAGCCCCATTTTCGAGCGTTGCCGAGGAGGTCGTCCCAGAATATCTGAAAACACCATTGCAAAACGTAAGAAAAATTTAAACCAAAATGAAACAAAAGTGAAACCCTATAATAAATCAATGTAAGCGTACGTACATACATACATACATACATACATACATACATACATACATACATACATACATACATACATACATACATACATACATACATACATACATACATACATACATACATACATACATACATACAAACATACATTCCAATTGGATGTATTTATTGGGGGAAACGTGGTATTTTTCAACACCTCACACAAGGTTATCACACCGTAAAATCGGAAAAATATCAACATGTACACTACTAGCGAAAAGAAACGTTACCCTCCTACCTTTATGAATTACTGAAAAGCTATCAAAGATATGTTAGAAGGTATTAGTTTACAAGAAAGCTTAACAACACAGCTTTATGCAAATCTTGAAAAGAAATTCTCAAATGCATTCATATTTAGGTGAAATGCATCCTTTTCAGAAAAATTAAATTGTCCTATTTTCGTCCATGTCGAAATAAACCAACAAAAGTGATTCAGATGTCCAAAAGAAACGTTGAAATAAAATTATGCTTTGGGACAAAGATAAACCATTTAAAGTCACCATTTTGCAACTGTTAAAACAAGAAACAACTGTTGTGGAGTGTGCAAAATTGGAAAATAATCATTCCTGTGATTACAGTCTTTTAAAACATTTTCTGCTGATTTTCATTAGTGAAAACAAGTAAAACTTGTCTTTGGTATTGTGAAAAAATGTTTAGGAACATCTAAAATTAGCTTTGTTAACATATTTGCTTGCAAAGTAACATTTTCCATTTTCTGTGTACACATAGCAATATCAATCGCCAAAACGCAGCAATATGCAAGCGGTATTTGCGTCCATTTCACATGTGGAATGAATCTATAGGGTATGAAGAGAGACTAGAATGCATGAAATGATACACAAGTACGAGAAATATGCCACGATTAACAGCTGAAGAGAGAGAAAGAGCCACTGGGATGGAGCAGATAGGGTCGACATACAATGCTGCTGCCAACGCCCTCGGATGCCACCGTATCACGGTTGTAAGATTTATTCAGGGCTTCAGTCAGACTGGGGTCACCGTAGACAGACTAAGAAGTGGACGTCCACGCATTACGCCAGCTGAAGATAGGCACCCCCGTCACTAAGGCAGGAGGGTAACGTTTCTTTTGGCGTTTAGTGTATATAGATTCCAATTACCTGTTCAAGTGGAAGTGCTTTCGTCTTATCAACAATGAAAGAATATTGACCACCATTCTGTTTAGCGTACGTTGTGTCGCTTGCCCTGCAATTGCACATAGTTGATATATAAAGTTAGTTAGTGAGTGAGTTTTACGCCGCTTTTAGCAATATACCAGCAATATCATGTCGGGGAACACCGGAAGTGGACTTCACATATCGTTTCCATATGGGGAGTCGAACCCGTGTTCGCGACGCTTTACCACTGGGGACCCCCACCACCCCGATAGTGACATAGAACATGCACTGTGAAATGTGTAGGGATCATTTCTAATTATTCATTCTTTGTTTGTTTGCTCATATATGGGCCATCATTTTATTATACAATCTTGGTCTACATACAGTATGAAATAAATATACAAAAGTAAAACACTAGAATCTTGGCATAGATCCCTGTCTTTCATAATTACCCCAAGAATAACATTTTCAGGGACATCGCGGCATTTGACATTTTTTTTAAACACGTGAAATACTTAAATTTCTTAAAATGACAGTTTCCAGAGACCTTAGCATTCTGTTTACATAACACAAATACACATGTCTGCACATTGCTTTAAACGTTGCATAATCTTTGTTCTCTTGTCGTATAATATCTTCCTGTATACACATGAAGAGTACTGAAGCAAAGCTGATGCACATTGAAAGTTATTTATTGATATTAAGGAGATATAACGTTCTGTAACAGTGAACAGGAATATATTTTAGAGCTATGTCATAATGAAGAATGCCACTCTTGCACATAAGAAAATTCTAAGTGTGAGACAAATTCAAATGAGTCTGGAAAACAAACTTGTTCTTTTTTCCCACTTGTTCATTTGATTGTCTAGTACACACTCGATTATGGACATACTCCCGCCATATTGCTGAGTGAGACGTTAATCAACAAACAAACAAACAAACAAACAAACGGACACCTCATTCACCCATGCTTGAAACTGCGTATCTTAACGTTTCACAGGATTCAAGAATATTAATTTATTATTAATTAATCGATAGGGAAACTTGTGAAATACCTACCAGTATCTGTTGTGTGCTGTAAGTGGCAAGCCTGTTTTGTTGTACAGCCACCTGGTAATTACATATAGCAAATACAGTCAGATACAGTCAACCGCTGTTCGGTCGAAGTTGAAGCCACATGCGAAAATACTTCGAGTTACTAGTATACTGCATTTTACACAACCGAAATTAGATGAACAAAGAAAGAATGCGAAGGTACGAAGCTTTTATGTCCATACAATCATAGGTTCGACAGCGTTGTGTCGAAGTTGAAGTGACCTTCGTAAATACTTCGAGTTATGCAAGATTATACACAACCGAAAATAGATGAATAAAGAAAGGATGCGAAGGGAAACAACCATATGTTCGACTCAAAGTTAGGCTCTAGGGTGTTTGACTTTATATATTTCAACATATATGTACATACACATATATGCACATATATACACATATGTACACATGTGTACACCTATATACACATATATGCACATATGTACACATATATGCACATATGAACACCTATATAGACATATATATATATACATATATACACATATGAACACCTATATACCCATATATACACATATGAGCACCTATATACCCATATATACACATATATGCACTTATGTACACATATAGACCCATATGTACACATATGAACACCTCTATACCCATATGTACACATATATACCCATATACACATATGTACACATGTGTACACATATTCTCACAACCATTACCAATGACGGGTTTTATGTGCAAAAAAGTTGTTTCGTCAGTCCGAACGTTTAGATTATATGTACAGCTAATTCCTACATTACGTTTTTACTGTTAAAAAGAGACTGGCCATGTTTATTATCTGGTGTGAAAATGTTTGTGCAGTGAGGAAGATCATTTGCATATCAGATTACTTCACAAACTATTAAAACACACTGTTTAAATGTGATTAGAAACAAAATTCCTATCACTTACTGCATGCCGTTTGGAAATACTTCTGGGGTGGCCTCCCATGTCTTGACCCCATTTCCTGCACCTTTGTAGTACCACCAGGAGTCGAACTGCAGGTATCTGAAGCAGGGTTAGTGAGTAAGTGATTTGGGTGTCACCCGCTCTCAGACAGTGGTTTAATAATTCCACTGCATGTTGCTTTGACCTGTTATCGAAAACAGACGCCATTCGCACATCGGACTGTGGCACCTGAAACAAATATGCCTGTACAGTGTAAGTGGCGACCTACCTGAAGGGTATTCCTGTGTCACTGATAGCAGTAGCAATGTCGATTATGGTGTCTTGGTAATTTTTCTGAGGTTCTGTATTGTAATAGTAATATGCACCTGCAAATAGAGTGAGTGCAATAGTTAATTGTTGTTTATTGTATATCAAGTATCTGTTGGAGTTGTTCCAAAGAAGAAAAACACGCATGAGCGCACACGCGCGCACGCACGCACACACACGCACACACGCACACATGCCATACATGGAATTAGGAACGGTGGGGTAGCCTACTGGTTAAAGCCTTCTCTTGTCACACTGAAGACCCGGTTTCGATTCCCCACATAGACAGCCACCATATAGCTGGAATATTGTTAAGTGCGGCGTAAAACTAAATTCACTCACCCAACATGGACATAATGTGTTAAGCCCAACTGTGGAGTCGCCTGCCATGATATTGCTTGAATATTGGCGGGGCACTCCTGCGATTGTTATTTGTGTAACGGTCCAAGTCGAGGACAGTCCAGATCAGTAGGCACACAGAACCTCCAACAACTGGTCAGCCAACGGAGAGTACCCCCGAATGCGCCTGTTACAACCAGCATAGACATCTCTGAACTGGTATCAGTGACTAAGTGAGATTAGTTTTACGCCGCTTTTAGCAATATTCCTGCAATATCACGGTGGAGAACTCCAGAGATGGGCTTCCCACATTGTACCGATGTGGGAATGGAACACGGGCCTTCGACGTGACGAGCGAATGCTTTAACCACTAGGCTACCCCACCGCCCCTGACATTGTATCAGCATGTAACAGCACAGGACAGGTTGGAGTGGAGAAGGGGTTGCCAGGCAGTCTTCGTACCGTTGTCTGTGTAGTACCCCAGATAGTTGTTGGTGAAGTCTGACTTGACAAAACTGTCGTCTCTTCTGTACATTTTTTTGCAGGATCTGCCCCCAACTGACGAATCCCTGAAATTTGAAATGATTAAAATTTAACTTAATAATTTCAATGAAATAATATATATACTGAGTCAAAAAAGAAACTTCACATTCTTTCTTCAGGGCACTATAAAAGAACAAGAGATGGTAAGATGGTTAAATTGTTATTATTTCATTGCTGAGATCTGTGTGATGTACTCGATACACTGACAGTGCCATAATCAGTTCCATTAGGCTACACCGCCGTTCCAAAACATGGGTATACAGAATGTCAAGTCACAAGAATAAAAATGCGCAATTTCTCAGTTCAATATCGTTTATGGCCGCCCCGCGCATTCACCACTGCCAAACACCGTCTCCTCATCGACTGCCTGATGCTTGTGAACACGTGGTTGGGGATTCTGCGCCATTGCTCTGCAAGGCAGCGCCAAGTTCCTGCAGATTCTGGGGTTGGTTCCTAAGACCACGAAGCCTTCTCCCAAGTGCATCCCAAACGTGCTCTATTGGATTAAGGTCAGGGGACCTCGATGGCCAGTCCATGACGTTGATTCCAGCGTTTTGAAGGAAATTTCGTCTCAACATCGCGGTATGCGGCCGAGCATTATCATGCTGGAACTGTAGACCTGGGCCATGAGCCGCCATGAAAGGAACGAGTTCAGGGGTGAGCACCTGGTAGCGGTAAGCAGCAGCTGTGAGGTTTCCACGGATGACCAGAAGTCGGGAACGGTTGTTCCCACAGAAAGCACCCCACAACATGCAACTTCCGCCCCCGAATCTGTCGACTTCCTGTACACAACATTGGGCATACCGTTCACGACGTCGTCTCCAGACTCTATGCCTGCCGTCCGCGAATCTGAGGGTAAACCTGGATTCATCGCTAAAGACGACTCGATCTCCAGTCTCTCTGGGTCCATCGGAGGTGACGTTGGGCCCACAGCAGACGTTGACGTTGATGAAACGGCGTCAATATTGGCCCACGATATGGACGTCGAGAATGGAGATTGGCAGCCCGCAACCGATTTCGAATGGTCTGTGAGGACAGTCGACCTCTAAACATCTCATCCCTGGTTCGTGTAGCCGGCAGAAATCTGTCACGTAGGTGACGTAGGACGATTTGACGGTCTTCTGCTCGTGACGTCACACGTGGACGACCCGACCTTGGGCGATCAGAAGTGGTGCCAGTTTGTTGTAGACGACCTCGCAAATCACACACAGTACGACGGCTGCATCCCATTGCTCTTGCGACGTCAATAACTGATCTTCCCGCTTGCAACATGCCAACGGCACGTTCACGTTGCACATTTGACAATCGTGGCATTTCAAGTACCGTTAGAACTGTGGTTTAAAAGTGTTTTTTCAATTCTTGAGGCCAATGCAAACACGTGCATATGAAGAAAACTTCGATGCGAAGATCACGTGATCGACTGCACGTGCAAAACCTGATTTGGCACTAACGTCATTTGCACGACGAATGGATGGGTTTGAGTGGGTTTTGCTAACGTTTTTCTAGAGTCGAAAGATAGGATCCCATTTCAGATACATAGATGTATCATCAGAGAAAAAAATATTCATTATTTTTCAAATTACATTTTGTGAAGTTTCTTTTTTGACTCAGTATATATATAAATAAAAACATAAATTCAATCTATGCATACGTTTGATAATGAAAAATGAATCTGTCCCAATCTATGCAATATTGATATTATTATTATGCAATGAAACATATTTTTATATTATGAAATCGATATTTCATTTGAGTGAAAATAAGTGTCCAAATATGTACTTCCTGTAACCAGAAATGACACTTGTGTTTCGAATTAAAACAGATATGATAATAGATATATTTATGAAAGCCCTGTTTGTTGTTAGCCCTTTGTTTACCTTCATTTCATACTGATTAAAGGTGAGTCAAATTTATGAGTCTCATTAGAGAGATGACATTAATGTTATATAACACACCTTGTTGATGCCTTGGTTGCTGAAGACGAGGATGGTGCTGGTTTCAAAGTTGGCGGGAACGTTGGTAACGCCACCCATGGTTCCCCAGTAGATGTTGGCTAATGTGCCGGTTTTTTGGTACATGAGATTGGCGGACATGAAGGAACTGGCAGGAGACAAGATGAAAGTGTTGGCAGTCTTGTTCCGGTCGAATAAACAGAAGGGGCCACTTGTGATGCCGTCGGAAATGTTAAGTGGAGGCAAAAAACTGAAAAAGAGTGATTCTACAATAATAACTTATTTCGATCAGAGATTTAGATGGACAAGGCAAACAAATTGAAATATATTTTACATATAAACACACATATAGATATAAATACTCTCTCACACACACGCACACACACACATACATATATATAAAGATCCGTGTCGTGTGATTATTTCAGAAACTTCTTCTTATATATGTACTACTGTACGCTCGGTATTCTCATCACTTTCTTTATATATAAATATGTACATATAAATGTGTGTTATGTTTTGAACAAGAATATGTACATGATAAATGTTTTATTCCAAGGTGCATAGGCATTATATAATATATATATTCGTATATTCGTGTGTGTCCAAACTCAATATTACCATGCCAAAAGCATTTTATATATTCAAAATTCTATTGCTTCTGCACCAAATACATCACTTATTCAGTAATAACGTTACAAAAATGATATATGTTACAATATTCATATATTACATAAATGAAATTACTCGTCTTCACGGTATAGCTACAATATTGATGTTGATTTTAACTCAGTCACTTTGAATAATGAATTGCCAATTGTCCTTTTGATCAAGATCAAGATTTGGGGGAGTTGATTCCATCCCGGATGCCCTAATGAGTTGCGTTTCTTGGTGGCACCGGGGCGGTGCGGTAGCCGTGTGGTTAAGGCGTTCGCTTGGGTTCGATTCCCCACATGGGTACAATGTGTGAAGCCCATTTCGGGTGTCCCCCGCTGTGATATTGTTGGAATATTGCTAAAGGCTACCTAAAACTCACTCACTCACTCTTCGTGGTGCCAGCATCTGATAATGATCCATTTTGTTGGCAGGGCACCTGTGTTTAAACGCCCACGAAAGCCGTCAATGCGGGCTTTATAACGGTAAACAGTGGTACCTAACCCAATGCCATCGCTCATTCACTCTGTATCCCTGTACATACTCTCCAAATGTTTTTTCTTGATATCCAAATTGACCACCACCGTACGACAGGAAGCCACGGGGTACAGGCGTATTCTCCACAACGAAGCCAGGAAACCCGGCTATGACGTCATCATTTGTGTTTGCCATCGTTCCATTTGTTGCGTTTAGGTACGTCTGATGAGAACAAAACAAAAGCACGTATGAATGATACATCCAATGCAGTTTAGGGATCATAGCATTCCTTTCGATAACAGATTGGTTGTACCACTGTTATGTTGGTTTCTTTGTTTGTTTAAAGCCACACTAAGCAATATTCCAGGGCCCCGTTTCACAAAGCTCTCGTAAGCCTAAGATCTCGTAACTCTTCTCGTCGCATTCGTACCTCCTATGTTGCAGTATAGGGTACGAATGCTACAAGAAACGTTACGAGATCTTAGGCTTACGAGAGCATTGTGAAACAGGGCCCAGCTATAATCAAGGTCTGTAAATAATCTAGGTTGGACCAGACAATCCAGTGATGAACATCATCAGCATCGATCTATGCAACTGGGATACTATGACATGTTCAGCCATGTCAGCGAGCCTGTCCACCTCATCCCGTCAGCCGCCTTAAAGGACAATTGTCGTAAGAGGCGACTGACGGGATCGGGTGGTCAGTTTCGCTGACTTGGTTGACACATGTCATCGGTTCCCAATTGCGCAGATCGATGCTCATGCTGTTGATCACTGGATTGTCTGGTCCAGACTCGATTATTTACAGACCGCCGCCATATAGCTGGAATATTGCTGAGTGCGGCGTAAAACTAAACTCACTCACTCACTCACTTAAAGGACAAGCATGGGTTACTGAAGATCATTTTTCAGCCGGACCACATCCGGCCATCACTGATGGGAATGAAATATTGTACTACACAGTCTCATTTGACACGTACACCTTAAAATGGTACATAAACATCATACAATACCCACTGTAATATAAGTGTTGTATTTATAAAATATTTGAACGCTTTTCCTTTCAAGAAGTTAATTTGGAAATACCATGTTTATAGACGACTCAAAACCACTACATCAGCAGCATATACCAAAAATAAATTAACATAACAATCATTGTCACTGTGATACTTGGGCAAAGAACGATTGTAATGATGCACAATACAGTACAAAATACCTGTATTTTAAACGCTAACAGGAAAGTACATAATGGTTTGCTGAAACCAATCTTTTCCCTAATTCAAGATATTTACCATGCTCAAACACACCTGTTGATAATGTTTGTGGAAAGGGTGTAGGGGTTTGTTTAATGGTCGAACTGACCAAAGCAACTACTTCTCTATACACAAAGAACTTAGTAAAGCACCCCCTGACAAATGTCATGATTGAATAAGCCCCGATCGTAACCTGTTAGATATCAAATCTGGGACATGATTGGTCGTCCTGTGCAGCAAAGGATGATGCTGTGCAGAACCTGGCCCAATTGGAAGCTGCTTTACACGAGGATCTGAAGATCAGGGGGCTGACAGGGGGTATGAGGAAGTGAATGATGGTTGTCATACAGTGACATGGAAGTTACACTCGGTATTGACCTTGAATCGTGTTAGACACGCAAAATAACATTTTGAACGTTCACATTCACCAATAAATTCAACAATAAACATTCCAGGGCCATACTTGTACAGGCATGGTTTTGTGTGAAAATCAGTGTGTGTCTTTTAAGTGAGCAATTATCATCATAAAATCAACATGGATTCCAATCATTTTGTCGGGTTTTGTATGCGTGAAAGGATCGTACGGGTCAGAAAAACTATTTTTTTTCCATTGTGGTCACCCCGAGAAGTTTTATGAACGTTTTAAACATCCATCATTGCAAACATACAGCGGATGCTTAAGTAAGTTCTTTGTGCATATATAGATAGAGGGACTTTGTATAGAGGAACAAAAAAGTATTGTCAATACGCATGTTAAACGTACAAAGTATCTGTATTTAAAACTATGAGAAGAAAGTCAAACCTGTTTGAAAATGACAAATTGTTCAGGTGGGTTGTTGCCTGAAAAGATACTTGGGTTAGGCGTGTAGAGGTAGATGCTGGCTAGAAAGCGGTATGTGTCGGCTTGGTAGAGGAAGTTGGTGGCCTGCCATTTGCCGATGAAGTCGGATCCAGATGTTCCTGTGGTCTCCAGAAGCTTCAAGGAGCCATCATCGGTGCTGTAAACCTTATTGTTGGCTCGGAAGAAAGTCGGGGCGCTATTCAACCAGACATCTTCCCCGACACTGATGGAATAGTAGCCGCTGCTGTAGACGGTGATGGTATAACTATCACCCCTTGTGCTGCCTGAACACATGAAGCAACAATTATGAATAGAACGTTACAGATTTTACTGACCATCCGGGATACGAACCAACGTTTTCAGAGTCAGACACCCAATTAATACTTGTGAGAGGGATATGCAATGTACGTCATTCAGACTTCCAGTTGTCAGACTTTAATTTTGTGTCGAAGCAGCGTAGGCTGAGTGGGTTAGATCGCTGTCTCTGTGTGCTCGCGATTACATGCATGACATGCGTTCGTATCCGGATGGGACTCAATCCCCACATGTACTTTAATCCAAAATGTAACATACATTACATATGACCGTTTTCTAAATGGCATTGTGTTTTCACATCAATTATGGACACTTATTTTAATAATGTTTGAATGGAGATTTCCTGTTTTGATGTTTACTCTCCACCCCAGGCTATTTCTTTCTGAGATTTCTGCTGAATGGTCTGCTGGTCAATCACTTGGGCGTTGACCATCGTCCTGTGTGATTACTGAGGTATTACAAATATGGCAATATGCGCTTCCATTAATTTACAACTTTTGAGGTACTTTCCAGACTTCCAAGAGAACTATACGATTCTTGCTTAGAAGTTGTTTGATCAACATTACAACGTCGAAGGCCACAGTAAAACGCATGTGGAAGACATTTAATTTCTTACGCATCCGTGACGGATGACTTTTGACTTGAATTGTTCCCAGGTATATAACTAACTGACCTTTGCATATGCAAATTGCTTAATATGTTGTCATTTTGATTCGTAAGCCGATGAACAAAGCTCTTGACAGGAATCTGGGTTAGGTGGAGTTTTAGATAACAGCACTTTCCAGCTTGACATTCCCTACATGGAATTTGAAGCATTGCCATGACTCGTGAACGCGGTTCTTGTACAAAAATACTGAATACAAAATACAATAAACTACGTTTATAACAAACCCGCTTATAACGTACTGAGGGATATAACGAACTGAGGGATATAACGAACTGAGGGATATAACGAACTGAGGGATATAACGAGGTCAGCCAATTTCTGTGTATTCTTGTCAGTGGTTATGACGAACAGCGGTTTAAACGACCATATATAGTTTACTCTACATGTATTTCTTTCTGAAGTGTTCCTAGTATGGTGATCTACCTTCAATTGTTAATTGGCGATATATAGCCCATTTTTACATTGTATTGTCCAACAATAGTTTTGTACTTTTAAAGATATATGCTAGCTAGTTTTAACTCAATCAGTGATAATGGAGTGGTTTTACTGTCCTTTGCTGACAGGGTTTTATATATTATATGTATGTATTATGAATTTAGAACTAGTTTTAGTCACGATATGGCTGAAATATTGCCGATGTGACTTTATCTCTTAACTCACTCACTCACTCACTCACTCTTTCTGAAGTGTATCATACTGATTTGTATATCCTGCATGTCTTTCATTCCCAAAACCACACATCCAGGGTAATTGTTTTGATTTCTTACCATAAACCACACATCATCCGTAACATTGCAAATGACATTTAAGTATCAATGGAGTATTTGAACCTATGTTTTTTTCAAAACATACACCGGAAGTCAAGTTTGAGGTAAACATGAATCGTGGTCGTATTGTTTGAGATTGAGGTTCGAAATGTTTTTGTTTGTGGA